AAAAAAAAATAATAATCATCCACCTTCCTAGGGATTGGGAAGAACAAATGGAAATGATTAGGCACATAGTAGGTGCTCAGTAAGGAGGAATTATAAAAAAGTATGAAGAACCAACATGGGTAAGCTGACAGGTTCAGGAACCCAGGTAGTGAGAATTTCGTCGTGAAGCAGAAGGTTATATGCTGGTGTTTGGCTTAATAAGGCCCTCAGTGCTGAGGTGTGGGGGGTGGTGAGCCCAGACCATCTGCCCCTCTTGTCTCTGGCTCCCCCTCTCTAATCTGACCCAGAAGAGCAGCTTAGCATTCTAAGAGATTCTAAGAGATGGGTTACAGATAATCTCTGGAAAGGAGTGGGGAGGACGTTGTCACCACCACTACATTTGGCCAACTCCCAGCCATAAACCAACTGTGGGATGGGAGCCTTTGCTGGAATGGCTCCTCACCTGGGGGACATACATCCAGAACAAGACTAAAAGCTGTCAGCCCCATTGCTAGCTACGGTTGCCATCATGGGGCCTGAAGTGAGTTACCTGCATCTTATGCCTTTGCCCATCCCCTCATCTGTAAGGGCTGGAGGGAAGACAGGGGAGATGGAGGAGGAGTATCTGTTTGGGGAGGACCCTCTTCCTCATGGGAGGAATGGGGAGGGGCTGAGCAGCTATCAGCAAAAGGCTCTTTGAGGACTTCCCTGTGAAGAACCAAAGTGCAGAATCCATGTCTTTTCTTGACAGTTTTCTGGGGGGAAAGGCCCCAGATATTCAGTATCAGTCAAGAGAGGCTGAGTTACACTGTAGTAGCGAGCAGCCTCCCGTCTCAGTGGTTTAACTCAGCACAGGTTTATTTCTCTCTTGCACGATGTATCCCTTATTGGCTGGAGAAATTTGTCCATGGTGGTCACTCGGGGACCCAGAATGATGGAGGCTCTATGGTGACATGATTGTTGACACAGGAAAAGGAGAGCACCAAAACGCCCCACCAGCTCCTAGCCCTGGAGGTGACACAGGCTACTTTTGCTCACATTTCACTGGTCAACGCAAGCCACATATGGCATGCCCAACCTCAAAGAGGGTGAGAAGTGTGGTCCTACCGTGACCTGGACAAATCTCTGCCCACTCTGAAGATCCCTCTCCCTTTTATCCTTCATGGAGAGCGTCTTCATTCATTCATTCACCTACGATGTGCCAGGCACTATTCTAGGTATCAGGGACATAAAAGTGAACAAAACAGATATCCTTGTGCTCGTGGAACTGACATTCTAGGGCAGGGATGGGGAGAAATAAATAAGTGTATAGAAAAATCTGTACTATTTCAGGTGGTGATACATGTGCTATGAAGAAGCATAGAGCAGTCAGTATAAGGGGAGTGGAGAGTGATGAGGGGGACTATTTTAGATTGAATGGCCTCCCTGAGGAAGTGACGGTTGAGCAGAGAT